CGACGACACCGACGACGAGTGGGCGGCCACGGCGACGACGAGTGGGCGGCAACGACGACGATGACGACGAGTGGGCGGCCACGACGACGACGACGAGTGGGTGGCGACGCGGGCGGCGGCGCCGCCGGCAACCCGGCCGCCTCACCGTCACCAACGGCGACCACGAGGAGCTGGGCCAGATCTGGCGGCGATGGGCCTCGTCCCACCCGGATCCGGCGGCGACGGGCTTCATCCCGCCCGGATCCGGAGGCAGGAGCGGGAGCGAGGGCGGGCGGCGGCGGGAGCGGGAGCGCGCGCGGGCGGGCGGCGGAACCGGGGCGGCCGGCGAGCTCGGGCAGCGGTGCTAGGGTTTCTTTTTTCTTTTTTTTTTATTTTTGGAATTTTATTTTTTTTTCGCGATTTTTTCTCTTTGCATGCGGTCGTCTTAAGCGTCCACATGCGAAAATCAGATTTTCGCATGCGGTTGCGCCGGCCGCATACAAAGATCGTGATTTTCGCAGACGATTTAGTGCATGCGGTTGCGCCCCCTTCTCGCCCGTATGCAAAAACCATGTTTGTAGTAGTGACTTTTCATGATTCCATATCCGTGTGTGACGTACGCAATGCGAGGCGCTTCGTTTGCGAATTCGTGTGCGTGCGGGTTTTGATTCGATTCGATCGGGCCGCGTCGAGCGACGGGAGTTGGCCGGGGACCCATGCATGCCACGCGCGTGCGCACGCACGGGTTGTGGCGGTGTACGTAGGCGTGTTTGAGAGACGGAGAGACGTACGTGTGCCGGCCGCGCGACGTGCGTGTGGTGGGATGGGAGGAAAGCAAGTGGGCGATCGACCGTATACTGGGCATGGAACGTGCATGCAGCGTGTACGTGATCGATCGCGAGAAGTAGGGAATACGAGGTCGTGTTTGGTAGGCCTTTAATATAACTTCTAGATTTAAGTAAAATTACAAGTAGTTTGTACCCAGCTTTCACCTTGATTATTCATTTCAAGAGAGCTCCATAACCCGTTTAATTCTCTTATTTTGGATGAAGATACAAGCTGAGCTAAAGCTACGCTAAACATGCGCTGAATATGGGATGGCAACCGTGTACCGTGGCAATCGGTTGTGAGATAGGAGCGGAACTTGCGGCAAACACACTTCTCACGATTACCCGGCCCGTGTTTTTCCCTCTTTATTGGAGATTTTGAGTGAGTGACGACCCTTGTTTTGTCGGCCCGTTTTCCTGAACAATAGCATCACACACACGTACGTGCAATAATCCTCCAAACCAGAACGTCGCGCACGTTTTGCACTAATAATACACATACTATATCATATCCTCCATCCACACGCAAATCCAGTTAAGCTGCGCTGCCTGCCTGCCTGCATGTCGCGCTCTCGGGCATTACATTTCCGGTCCGCGCGGCGCGCGCGTGGACGCCGAGCATTGCGATCCTGTGGAGGCGGAGGCTACCACATGTGGCCACCAAACAAACCAACCTTTCACCTAAACTGGGCTTTTCTCCACACGCCTCGTTTCCATTTTGGCGATTAAAACTCGGCTACTAGAGGCAGCCGTCTGGGTTGACCACTGTGGACGTTGATGGCGAGTGGCTACAGATGCTCTCTCGTCACAGCCTGGCGAAATGACACACGTGCGCGACTACTGATTATTTGCTACTATAGTGCTATACTAGTAGTACGATTTATTTTGTACAGTACTACTAGGAGAATAATCTCAGTTCCTTGCGCTGGCAGGCAATTCCTCCTGTCTGTTTCAATATTTTTGTTTTAATATTTACAGAAATATTATGCCGACGAAAATATTTATAGAGCGGGCATGCAAATTTTACATGCGGCGAAAGTTGCATTTCACCCCACCTCAGGGCAAAATGCACACACGGTGCCGTGTGCCACGTCACCTTGCCACCCTCCACTTAGGCAGTAAGGTCTATTTTTGTAAATATTTTCGCCGGTATAATATTTCTGAAAATATTAAAAAAATAAAAATGAAAAAAATTCCTCTGGTAGACATTTTCTTCGGCACATCGCACATGCGTTCTGTCCACCAAATATAGTTGAGCTCAAAACATATCCCAAGTGTAAATTGCTTATCTAACATTCATTTAAAAAAAAACATATCTCAAGTGTCTAGCCCAGGATTGAAATAGAATTTCAGCCCATATATTCTACTCCATATAGTTAGGTGAAGCGGCGGCTGCAGTGAGACCGTGTGCATGCTCACTGGGCCTTTGAGTTGATTTCAGTAGAGTGATCTAGCTAAGTTAGGTTGTGTTGATTTCATCTGCGGTGTGAGTTAGCAATGGCGGGCACAACCATGGCGCTGAGCACTTGAGCAGCTCCTTCGCTGCCACCGCCGGCGCGCCATGGCGTGTCGTTTAGTCGTTGGCACTGGCCACGCCGCGGTAGGCTTCCCCGTTGCCAGGGTCGCACATCGCCGGCATGTTGCACTTGTTGTCAAGGGCCAAGCCGATGTGAGTTGACCATTACTACATTCATATTTTATTTTATTTTAATGTATGACGCCGTTAACTTTTTTTCAATATTTGACCATTTATCTTATTAAAAAAAATTATATAGTTATTATTTATTTTATTATGACTTGATTCGTTATTAAATGTTTTTTAAGTATGACATAAATATTTTAATATTTGCATAAAAATTTTAAATAAAACGAATGGTCGAAAAGTCGACGGCGTCGTACATTTGAAATACGGATGAAATATTTTACTGTCTGTTCTGGTGATCGCTTGTTTGCTAACTTGGGTTGTTGATTGATCTGCAGATGGACATGGAGCAGACGAAGGGAAAGGATGGCAGCGTTGTCTCCGGTGACCCCGTGCTTGAGCACGAACCTTGTCAGACATGCTAGCGTCGACAGGTCGATGCCGGAGCGGATCAACAGGCGGCTGTGGTGGTCGGCTGCCATGTCAGCAGATACCACCTTCAATAATGTCTTGAAAGTGATTTTAGACGGTTTTAACCGTTGAAGGAGTAATTTATAACTAGTTTTATGGTTGAGAGATGCGAATCAGATCCGATCTATATTTGAGGGACTGATAGTGAACTTATTCCTATATTTTATGCACCGGACATTGAGGCCCACAAACGTTAGGCATAGTGAAGGCCCATTATCAATTTTCCAAGCACCACGAAGGCCTATATTGCTTCGGCTTCTAGCCTTCTAGGCTCAACCGCCCAACCGCTGAATATCCCTTTTCTTCCGGAATAAGTTCACTATGGGTCCCTCTATTTGTCGCCCTGTCCGATTTTCGTCGCTCGACCGCAAAACTGGGTATGATCCGTCCCCCAACTTACGAAAACCAGGTAAACGTAGTCCCTCAGCGATTTTGGCTGATGTGGCGCCTACGTGATTTGTTTGACTAGGTCTCCGTTCCACGTGGCATTGACGTGGCGCTTACGTGGCAATTATATCTCGGAAAAATAATAAAAAGCGTGGCCCCACATGTCAGCTACACCAAAAAAATATGGTGGGGCCCACATGTCAGCTACACCAAAAAAATATGGTGGCTCCACATGTCATTCTCAAATGATCAAATCCAATCCTCTTATTCCTCCTCTCCTCGGCTCTCCCCATCTCCCTTCTACTTCCTCATCTCGCCGGCGAAGATAAGGACACCATGGAGAGGCGCAGCCTCCTCCACTCCCGCCCCCATGGTCCTAACGTCGGCGGCCGGCCGTCCCTCTCCTCGTCGCTCGCCGCGCCTGCCTCCGCCTCCACCGCCGCACACACCACCAACAGCAACACACCTCTCCCCGTCGACGATGAGCACCCGTTCCAGCGGGAGAGGCGGCCGGCTACGAGCGGCCGTTCGAGCGGGACAGGCTAGTGGCGGTCGGTGGGAGAGGCGCGCGATGGGTGGAGGCTCGACGGTGGCGGGCGGCAGGAGAGGCACGCGGCGAGTGGGGGCTCGATGGCGACGGGTGATGGGCTCTTGGAGGTTGGCGGGTAGAGGCCCGCAGCGGCCCCTTCCTCTTCCCCTCGCCGCTGCAACCGTGCGCTGCCGTCGGGTCGTCTCGATCTGTGCGTACATCTTGGAGGTGAGGACGATGACAACGCCGCAGCTTCCTGATTCGGTGCAGATCTCGGACCACGTCGCCGCCGCCCCTCCTTTCGTGCTCTCGGTCCCGTCCTGACCTTGGGCAGCCGCTCCTCCCTAAACGCTGACTCCTCCCCGTCCACCATCCTTCCTCGCCAGCCGGTGAGTGCGCGCCCTCCACTTCCTCCCGCCGACCCTTCGCTTCTTTCCTCCTTGTTGAGGTCCACCACCAGCGTCACGCCCTGCAGCGGTCGCTCGTAGAAGCTCGCCGCTGAACCACCCGATGGGGAACACCGCGCAGAGCACGTCGTCCATGTCCACCCCGCACCGCGCACCGACTCCACGAACGGCGGGTGCTTCGGCGGCAGCGCCAGCGTCACGAACTGCTCCTCCAGTGTCAGCGTCGGGAGGGCGGCGCTGCGGTGGACGACGTGAGAGAGGACGGATGCCGAGGAGGCGTTAGCAATGTTGACGCGGAGCTCGTGGGATTCGCCGCCGGCGCGGGCGATGATGAACGCGCAGCGCCACTGCTGCCACCGCCCGCCGCCTGCCGTCGCTCCGCCTGTCACCCCCTTTGCGTCGCCGCTCGTCCTTCTCCTTTGCCGTGTAGGGGAGAGAGAGGGGGGATAGAGAGAAGAGGGAGGCTGACATGTGGGACCACATGGGTCCCATAGTTTTTTATTATTTTCCCAAGATCCAATTGCCACATAAACTTCACGTCAATACCACGTGGGATGAGGTCCTAGTCAAAGGGAGCCACGTGATCTAAAACTGGGCATAATACTGCCGAGGGACCTCTTTTATATGGTTTTGTAAGTTGAGGGACCCGTCGTACCCGATTTTGTGATTAATGGATGAAAATTAGAGAGAGACCTGAAGTGAACTTATTCCTTTTCTTCCTTATCTCTGAATTCTGAAATCTGGCCGCCTGGTCGGTCAGGTCACGCCACGCGTGCGAGTACGACGCATCGCAACTCGCAGTCGCCGCCGCCCTCCTCCCAACCCGCGCGGCGCCGCTCGCTCGCGCAGTCCATCGAGCCGCAACAAAAGCGGAAATAAATCCCCCACAAACCCTACCCTTCTCTCCCCTCCACTCCCCCACCTCCGCGCCTCTCTCCGCCGTGTTCCTCCCGCCCGCCGCCGCCTTCCCGCCGGACCTAGCTCCTCCCCCGCCGTCCTCGACCTCACCGGAGGTGAGCCCCCCTCCCCCCCGGGAACCCGCATTGCGGTTTGACGTCGAGTAGGTAGGGTTTTATCTGCGTGCGAACGTGTGCTGATGTAACCCTAGTTTTGGATCCCCCTAGGTGGCGTGGTGCGGGAACGGGCAGGGCGCCGTGATGGAGATCCCCAAGCAGGGGCAGCCGCCGCGGGTGGCGGGGACGCCGCCGACATTGCCTGGGGCGATTACCCACACTACGCAGGTTGGGTACCCGGCCGTGTTCTACAATGGCAACTGGGGCGCGCAGGTGCCGGCCAGCAGCTACCTGATCGTGCCCATGAGCGAGCCGCCGGCGCAGGTTGGTGTGCCCAGGCCCAACGCGCTGGGCCTCTCCGGGTCCGGGGCCAGGCCGTTGAGTAGGGTGTCGCTTAGGCCGCCGCAACAGGTGCTGAGTGTCCAGACAGCTTTGCCTGGTATGGCCGCGATGATGCCATCGCCGTCTATGATAGCAGGTAAGAAGATGGCAGCGTCGCCGAAGGTTCAGATGCTGAAGTCTGTGCCCTTTCGGTCTGCTGGTAGCAAGCGTCCTGCGCAGGAACTGCTGCCCAAGGCACAGCCGCAATTATTTGAGTCCGTGAGATCAAAGTTCAGAGAGACTCTGGCTGCTGCCCTGAATATGGATTCTGACCAACAGTGTGCCCCGCAATCCGTTGAAACCGTGTCACATGTTGGATCTGCTAGCGAGAACAAGCAAGCCGATGGTGCTGGTATTGATTCTGTCACAGAGACTAGTGCTTTGAAAAGCGGGCAACATAACATGTTAAGTAGCAATTCGGCATCAAACATGTCGATCAAGGTGAGTGATGATATGCAGCAGCAATCAATACATGTTCCTTTGGAAAATAAAGTACTGGATAACAATTCTTGCACTTTAGATGAGCTTCTGCAAGGCCATGGACTTTGCTGGTCTTCTGACGTTGTTGGAGCTTCTGAAACTATTTCTCAATCCGATCCAGACAGAGTCAGAAAATCTGATATTGATGAAGGTGTTGATGTATCTCTGATTGAGCATGAGTCTAAAAGAATAAAGACTGATGATGGGGCAGCAGAAGAAAAGAAGAGTGTAACCCAAAAGGCCCAAATTTTAGCATTTGAAATTGAAGGTGAGCTGTTCACTTTATTGGGAGGAGTTAACAAGAAATACAAGGAGAAGGGTCGATCACTTCTGTTCAACTTAAAAGATAAAAGTAATCCTGTACTGAGGGGACGTGTCTTGTCTGGAGATATAACACCCAAACGCCTATGTTCAATGACTACTGAAGAACTCGCTTCAAAGGAACTTTCAGACTGGCGGTTGGCTAAGGCTGAAGAGCTTGCAAAGATGGTGGTTCTTCCTAGTAAAGAAGTGGATGTTAGACGCTTGGTGAGGAAAACACACAAAGGAGAATTTCAAGTTGAGGTGGAAGAAACTGACGGTATCTCTGTGGAGGTTGGAATTGGGGGTGATTTGCTTTCGCATGTTCCATCAAGACCTACTGAAGGTCAAACCAAAACCGATGATAAAAGTGTACACACGGAAGAAAAAGAATCAGACAATAGTGAGCAAGATGGAGTTATCGTGACAGGCGGCAATAACATGCCAAGCAATTTAGAACATACAGAAAATGAGAAAACTGATCTGATGCAGGAACTGATGGTAGATGACCTGAAAGATACAGAGAATCTTCCACCAATTATGTCACTGGACGAATTCATGGAGACCCTTGATTCTGAACCACCTTTCGAAGATGATTCCACTCAAACTGTGAAAGATGATCCTAATTCTATTGAGAAAACTGACATTTCATTGAAATCGGAAGATTCTTCCAAAAATGTGGATAGTGCTTCTGCATCAGATTCTCAACTTGATCCGCAAACATTATCTCCTCAAGATAAGTTTGAGTCCAAGTTACAGTCACCCAAAAAAGACGCAGGCTCAATTTTGTTTCCAGTTGAACAAATAAAGGAAGATCTGTTAGTCAAATCCTCCCCTGAAAAGGCCAATGCTGAAAACATTGATACTGGCAGTCAGTCGATCCCTGAATCTATCACGGATTGTAAATCAGCTCCTGATGCTTTGCTGACACATGACAGTGTATGGGAGGGAACAATTCAACTTTCCTTGTCATCACTCACAAATGTTGTTGCGATCTTCAAAAGGTTTGTTTCATCCGCAGTTCTGCACTGCTTATCTCTCTTGTATATACAATTCACTATTGAAAGTACTTCTCTTGCTAGTTTCTATATCTTGAGCACAATACATGGTACCATTTTATAGAACAGTGCACAACTTGACAAATTAATATTTCAGTTATATATCCTCAGTCGATTATTGTTTTGTCTGTTCTGTAGCGGTGAAAAGACATCCACAAACGAGTGGCGCCATTTCCTTGATATCAAGGGAAGAGTCAGGCTCAGTGCTTTTCAAGAATTTCTTGAACAACTTCCTAAATCCAGGAGCCGTGCTATAATGGTAATAGTTATTTCTCATTTGCTATTCTCAGTTGGATGACTATATTTTTTAATTAAAATTGGCAATTACCACAGTATGGAAATGTGAAATACATCGATGTTGTACAGTTGTACCTATTGACTTGCTAGCAGTAGCATCTACTGCTTCTTCTGAATGATTGATTGTAAGATGCTACGGAAACACATTTTTGTTTTGTAAGATAATCTTTGTTGTTAACGTTAGGCATTTGCATAAATATTCCGAACTCCGTGTTCAGGGGATTCCATAAATCTAATGATGGTAGCCATTCCCTTAAAAGAAATACTGGGTCAACATGACATGCTGTGGCAATTCCTTTCCTTTTTTTTTTTTTGCAGAGTGTTATTCAATGTCACTGTTTTCTGGTTGTGTTTTAATTGAGTTCTACACATTGCATTGAAGTGCACTGCAGATATAGTGCTATACCTTCAGTGGAATGGACTGTCGCCTCTGTTGTCCTTACAGCAAATTGATTCCTTATGGGACTCGGTACACAAACCTAGCAAAAACAAGTTGCGCACATGGATTTGCCTATGCAAATTGCCCTCGCAGATCAACAGAAGAAAGCCACGAAAATAACTAGTATCCTGAGAAAGGGCCTGTTTTGAGTGCTTAATAAAAGTTAATATACATAATATACATCTGCTAACGAGATATTTCTTTTTTTACCACTGAACGAACCTCCATTCTATTTCTTTGTGCTCCAAAATGACACTGTGTTTCTGTATTAACCCTTTTTGCACTCCCAGTTTGACTCTTTTCGAACACATAAAAAATACCACAAAATCAAGGGAAAAAAATCAGAATACACTTAAAAAAAAAGCTCTGTTCAAAGAGGGTTCAATACTATGTTAGGAACTGGGTAGTTCATGTGGAATATGTTGAAACTGTGGTTCCAAATACAGTGTAAAACACCTTATACTGTTATACATGCAATTAGGCTTTAGATATTATGCGAGTGAATTTGAGAAAACCTCATGTTTGTGGCCCCTTCTGACACAAAATCGCAGATAGATGGGTGATAGTTACAGAAAACCCCATAGTCGAATATAGCATTGTGATGTGGACATTCGGCCCAACCGTGGCCTTTTTGCTGTAGGGTATGTTCCTGAAAAAGTTGGAAGTTTGAAGAAAGTTGGGAGTTTGGAAAAAAAGTTGAAAGTTTATGTGTGTAGGAAAGTTTTTGATGTGATATGATGTAATGGAAAGTTGGGAATAGGGGGGAAACTAAACACGGCTGTAGTGTGGCACTACATCCATCTTGTGTGGGTCCTTGGTGTAAATCTAGAACCACGTTCGCATGTCAGCCTGTCAGGATGGACAGCTGTTGGGCTACGCAGTTAGGCAACCGCCATAACACAACCTTCTGTCCTGATACGTGAGCCATTCAAATATGGCTTAAGAATTCCATAAAGGCCCACACTAGACCAGTGTTCTAGAAAAAAGGTCTACAAGGCCACATTCCAGAAAAAGGGTCTACAAGGCCAAGCCACTGGATACATGGAACGGGTGCCCCAACCTTGCACTGGACACATGTTGTGCCCTGTTGGCAAACCTAACATCATACCACAATGAATTTTTCGGTCTGGATTGCAACAACTCTGGGTTTCATTTACTAGCTTCAATTGACGTGTGTTATGTGAAAATATTTTTAAAACGCGTGGTTTTGTGGTACACAGGGTTGTATTTGTACCTGGAGTTTTATGCAATTTATTACTCGTATTGGTCCACTAGGCCACTAGGTATTAATGTTTTTGAAATGGGTTGCATAGTTGCACTAATGTTATGTTGAGGCATGGACCTTTGCCAATGTTTTACACTTTAAGTGTTAGTTGGAGAAACAAATAAATGAAAGAAAAAAAGGGAATGCCCTAATAAGAAGACTATGACCGTATTATAGCCTGAATGTTGGATTGTGCTATGGTTCCCGCACTGATTCATGAATGATAGAAATATTATGTACTTCGGAATTGCATATGTACTTTTGTGCTCTTGAATTTGATTATTCACTATGCTTAGTATATACTCCCTCCGTTTCATATTATAAGACTTTCTAGCATTGCCCACATTCATATAGATGTTAATGAATCTAAATACATATATATGTCTAGAACTCTAGATTCATTAGTATATATATGAATGTGGGCAATGCTAGAAAGTCTTATAATATGAAACGGAGGAAGTAGTTCCACATTCCACGCTATGAGAAATCCACAATTTTCATTTGAACCTGCTTTTCTTTTGCTTAGAGCCTAGCAATTAGCACATACAAGGTCTTGTTCTTAAAGTTCCTGACTGCACCCCAAGTATTTCATATACCTGATTAGCCCAAATAAATAGGTTATGTTCATGCATTAAATGTTGATTTGTGCATATAGAGATGCTATCTGATGGAAAATGATTTACCTTGTGCCATCCAGATGGGTAATCTTCCATTATTTCTGCTCCTGAAACATATGTTATTTCATTAAGAACCTGTTACTCGTTTTACAGGTAACTGAGTTGCGTTGGAAGGAGGGCTCTCTTGAGAGTGGGCGCCAGCATCTCTTGCGGGTTACTCCCTTAATTCTTGTCATCTGTTACCTTTTGCACGGGCTCAGCGTAATGCTATTGTGGGACTCCTGATCTGCTAACCACCTCTAATTTTTCCTGCAGACCATTGACTCATATATTGCAGACGAGAGAGTAGGACTAGTGAAGCCTGCAGATGGAGTGGAGCTTTACCTCTGCCCTTCTCAAGGGAAGGCAGCACAGATACTTGCAGAGCACCTACCCAAGGAGCAGTCGAGCAGCTTAACCGTGACAGGAACATCAGCTATTGGAGTCGTCGTGTGGCGGAGGCCCCATGTTTCACCTAGGATACCCGCCAGGAACGATGGCTCCAGAAACCAATCCATCTCGAGGAAGCAGCATGCCGTGATTGCCAGTGCAGTGCCCTTGTCTTCCAAGCCTACCAATGAGCGTCAGCACCACGGTCAGGATGTTGTAACTGATGATGTTCCTCCGGGCTTTGGCCCTGGTGTTGTTAGGGAAGACGATGACCTACCTGAATACGATTTTGTTACCGTCCCAAACGCAGCTGCCAACGTAGTACCATCACGACAAGCACACAGGAGCCAGCAGCAGCATTCTCAGGCCGCGTCCCGCCGCCCGGTAGACCATGTGAGGGAGATGGTTCGCAAGTATGGTAGCAGATCCGCTGCCGCAGCCCAACCCTGGGAGGATGATGACGATGATGACATACCAGAATGGGATCCAAACCAAAGCAATCTGAATCTCCAGCAAACACGGCATGCTATTCCACAGCCACCGTTGCCTCCACCCGGACCTGTTCATCAGCAAATGCACGCGTATCATCAGCAGCATCAGCAACAGCAGCAGCATTACCAATCCATTCAGCAGTATCACGCAACACAGGAATCGCAGAACACCTTGTCCCAGGCTTACTACGTCCAGTCCCACTCACAGCAGCATTCCGTGCCCGTGCAGCAGCTGACTCATTTGCAGCCTGGCTGGCAGACCACCGCCCAGTGGCTGGCCGCCGGCGCCGCGCATTCCGGCTTGCCGGCGAACAACGTCGTGCAGCAGTACTGCACTTCCGCGACGCCTGACGGTAGTGGCCAAGGCTACGCTACTGGGAACCAAGGCTCCATGCCTTGGAACCTACAGTAGCTACGTTACCTTTGTGCGAGTCAGCAAGCATCCGATGTTTTTGGCCCCCTATTCTCCCTTTGTGTCTACCATGCAGTTCATGTAATTATATATCATGCGAACTGCACCACCCAGATAAAAATACAAGTGTTACTACTAGCCGCTTAGGTAGTTGCTGGTTGTATGCAAATGGTGTAGCAGTAGACATGTAGTAGCAAGAACTTGATGCCATGAGCATATGCCTGCTAGGCTGCTACTTTGGTTTTTTGGCACTGCCGTATCCAGCTGCCCAATAGTGCGCTCCAAACTTTTTGAGGTTCAAGCGAGAAATTTTTGTTTCTTGAAACTTTTTTTTTTACCTTTTTCAAAACCTAATTTCCAAAATCTGAACTTTTTTTTGGTCACGCTAGCCCGCCTGTGTGGCAAACCAACACTAGCACGCTATGGGCAGTGGACGACATGACACTTGTCAGCGAGAGCGGTGTGGTTAAATCACGCTAGCGAGGCTGGCGTGGTCAAATCACGTTGTCATCCTAGCGGGAGCCACGTGACAATATTGTTGTCACGTCAATGTCAAAAGAGGTTAGATATTGAAAATAAGTTTTTGGACGGGTTTATTTTTAAAATTAAAAATTAAAATGTTCAAAAAAAATTAAAAAAAATCGCAAGACGATGGTGCGTAACCGTGATGTGACGTGACTTGCAACGGACTGCTGCTCCCCCATGCCGTGTGCTATCCTTGCTTTACGCGTGCCACAGTTTTGATTGCCCGGTGTTCATCGTTAGATCCTGATTGGATGGTCCAGATCTTGCAAGGTCATTGTTCATGGAACTAGTTCAGCTGCACCGACAGTCGGAAAGAGGAAGAGTTTGCTGCTCCAAGACTCTGCAGGACCGCACCGATCAAGGGGGCTAGGCTAAAGCTTCTAGAACATGAACACAACGACTTGTTTATTCAACCACCTGCCCACCATCCAAATTACCAATCCAACGAACACAAGCCCATTGATCATCGTACTCGATCTAAGCATTACACTACTATTTTAAATGTCTGCCATGTTTCCAAATGCAACTTTAGCCATGGATAAACGTCTTGTATTAGAAGAGCATGACGTTATGAGAAGCAGACCAGTGTTTATTAACTTCTCATTTCTAATTAATTTTCTAGATTATACTTCCTCAATTTTAAAATACAGTAACTTAAGATGAGATTAGATCATTCTATAACTATGAGGGCATGTTCACTTTAATGACATTTTCAACCTTATCAAATTTTGGCATTACCAAAATTTTGGCACATGATTTCTTATATAGTTACCAAAATTTGGCAGCAAACTAAATATATGCACTTTTTAGCAACTTTACCAAAATTTGGTAAGGTTGAAAATGACATCAAAGTGAACAGACCCTGAATCTTAATATAATTATCTTCAGATTCACATGTTGCTGTATATTAGGACGAAGATAGTAGTAAAAATCTAAATTGTTTGAGGAGCTTAAGAAGCTGCATTTGCTAAAACTTCCACAGATAAGACCAATTTATATACTATGAAGTAGTACCATATTGATATGATTTATGTGCGTCCATTCTTAAATAACAATAGTCGGAGTTACCCTCGTTTGGGGTACAGTAACCCCTCTTCCCCGGTAAAGCAAACCCCAGTGCACGACATGCCAAGAGAAAGCAGCAGCAGCGAGAAACCCTGTCCGCAACGCAATCTATGCGAAGCGCACACGATTCCGGAGCTCAACAAACCGAGATGGCGACGCCTAGCCCCTTAGGCAGGTAGACGACGCTTGAGCTTGACATGAGCACATTAGCATATGGATGCAGCGACAAATAACAGATGCATCATCACGCATATACCACACCTCGCTTGCCCTCTCGCAACCCCTTTGCTTAAGCAAGAGGAGATTCCAGACAGTTGCTCCCCACCTACTAGTCGTTCCAGCAGAACACCACAAATGTTAACTTCTCCCCCATACATACAAACTATGTTTGTATGCTTAGGGTGTGTTTAGTTCACGTGAAAATTAAAAGTTTGGTTGAAATTAAAACGATGTGATGGAAAATTTGGAAGTTTGCATGTGTAGAAAAGTTTTGATGTGATGTAAAAGTTAAAAGTTTAAAGAAAAAAAATGGAACTAAACTCGGCCTTAATGTGAGAAAAATATACTGTGCAAATCTAAAAATTACTATAGAATAAAAAATAAACGTCTAAAATTTATCCATACTTATCTAAATTTGCATTACATATTTCCCGCTTAATCATATATAAACAACAATTTTTACTGCTACTTTAATTTCTTTTTCTTTTTGATTCGTTCAAAAACCAAAAATTGGATAGTGCTTGAGAGCCTTATAAATATCTCTCTGAATTTCTTAATCGTAACGTGGCAAGCTCGTGCTACCTGTACAGCTCACTGTTTATGACGTGGTAACAATGTTTTGCCAAAGATTTGTCATGCCATATTTTGATTTTTGAACGAATTTGTTTTTGCCACGGTGACATGGAAGGCCCTGCCGAACGGTTTAAATTAATTACCTGAGCGTTCATTTCTGAAACTTATTGAAATCTTCTTTAAAAGAACATCAAATTCGCAGCAAAGGGGAACCCGGTCTCAATAATTAATCGAAGGAATAAGCACAAATGCTTCGCATTACAGGCGCGTATACATATATATTTATCGTATTTTTTAATCTGATATATATATAATTTTCTTCTTCTAGTCTACTACGGCGAATGAATGCCATGGCGTGCGTACAGCGAGAGGAGAGAAAAAACCCAAAAAAAAAAAGAAAAAAAGAACGAATCAAATTGCGCCGGCGATGTCGGTGGCGGCGGACGGTGAGCTCGCTCGGTTATTAGTCGAGGCGCATCATGTCGTTGTGGAAGGCGTCGACGGCGTCGGCGGCGACGCACTGGGTGATGAGGCGGGCGCCGGGCTTGTGGGCGGAGGGGCGGACGAGGATGCAGGTGGCGATGTAGTCGAGGTTGGTGAGCGGCACGACGTGGACGGGGGCGCCCCACCCGTAGTCCACCTCGGCGAACCCCAGCCGCGACCAGTCGGAGACCAGCAGCGTCCGGTAGTCGGAGGTGATCCGGTACGGGTCGTCCTCGCCGCCGCCGCCGCCGCCGCTCCACCGCGCGAACTCCCCCGGGAGCCGCTTCTTCCCCTCCCGGATCAGCCTCACCACGTCGTTCACCGACGCGTCCGCCACCGCCCCCGCCGCCGCCGTCACCCGCATGATGTAGTAGCAGTTGCCGTAGAAGCCGTCCGGGAGCGCGCGCCGGAGCACGGGGCGCGCGTTCATGGCGAAGCACACGTGGACGGGGGACCCCGGGGCGAACCCCGCCGCGCGCGTCCGCGACTGCCACGCCTTGGCGATGAGCACCTCGAACGCGCTGCACCGGTGGCCCGTCTGCTCCAGGAACCTCGCCTTGAAGTGGTCGATGTAGTCGGTGGAGATGTCCATGGCGAGGTACTGGAGGCGGAGCTCCGTCGGGACGGGGAGCGGGCCCACGGCGGCGGACGGCGGGCACGGGATCGCGTCGCGCCCCCACGCCGGCGCCAGCGCCGGCGCCGCCCGCCCGCGCGCGATCTCCCCGACCGCCGTCATGAACTGCGCCGCGCCAGGGCCGTCCGCGACGGCGTGGCTGAACCGGAACCCGACCACGAAGCCGCCGCACGCGAACTGCGTGACCTGCATTGGGGAACGGACAGCTCAATCACACGCCATTGCCATGACATTGCCAACCAACCCGTTGACCACAAGAATCGCTCGAGAAATTTCCTCGCCATTGTTGTCTTACCTGGACAAGGAGGATGAGCGAGTCTTCGGGGTGAGACTCGGAGGCGGGGTAGGTGGGGTGGGGGAGGAGCTCGTCCTTGTCCACCATGAGCGGGTACTCGAGGTAGTCCACATCCTCGAGGGAGCAGCTCGCCGTGGCCTCGATGAACCACACACCCTCGCCGGTACAGTCGACGACGAGCTCCCCACCATCCCCGCGCTCCGCCAGCCGGCCGGCGATGGGGTAGTAGCTCACGAGCGCCGCCGCGAGCGCGCGCTCGATCGCCGCGGCGGGCGCCACGGCGGCGTCGGCGCGGCCCTTGAAGACATGGAGGGACTCGATGAGCGCGCGCTGCGTCGGGTAGCGGTCGAGCCAGGACAGCGGGAGCGCGCCCCCAGGCGTCGCCGCCGATGGGGCCACCACCCGCTGAGCCACCCGCGTCACGGTCGCCGCCGCCGCCGCCGCGGAGCCCCGCATGGTGGTGGTGGCGGCGAGGTGGGGATCTGGGTGGTGGTGGTGGTGGGCTTCGCTGGCTGGGCTCGGCTTGGAAGCAAGCGGTGACCGTTCTCTTGGATTTTATAAGGTCTTTCCTGTAAATTGTAGTGTGGCCGCTACGACTAGTTCTTTAGTTTTTTTCTTCTTTTTTTTTTCTTTTTCTCTGCGTGTGCGTGTGTGTGAGGGTGTGTGTGGTGTTGTTGATGACTGGATGTGAAAGGGATTGCCCACCGCACGATGCAGAGATGGACGAATCGGATCCGGCCATTTAGGGGCTCTAATCACCTCCAGAATTTAGGGTCAGAATAATGCTACAGTGCTTGCTTTACAAGAAAAATGCTACTCTCGGTTTGTCACATGGTATTGTCAGGTCCTCCCTCCGTATTAGGATGTCGTTTTGGACAGTGACACGGTTTTCAAAACACAACTTTAACTTATTATTTCTTAAAAACATTTATTGAAAAATGATATATGTATAATTTTATGAAAGTATTTTTCAAGATAAATCTATTCATTTAATTTTCACATTTTTAAACTCAACAACTTGAGAGTTATTCATGATTTATATTCTCAAGGTTTGACTTAAACATTATCCTAAACGACTTTCTTTACGAGTACGGAGGGAGTACTAATCAGTATGGAAAATCTATTAATTTATTAAAGGAATAGAAAAAAAGAGCTTCCACGTTCGCTTTCACGGCTTAGAAATTCTCATATTAATCGGAGAAAAAGAAACAGAGTCTACATAGAAATACAATTTAGAAATAGTTGAAATTCGGAATTAAAAAATAAGGAATATTGTAAGAGAAGACTAGAGTCCATATAGAAATACAATTTAGAAATAACTGAAATTTAGAATTAAAAAATAAAAAAATATTAGAAGAATAGTATAAAGTATATATAGAAATACAATTAAGAAATAATAGAAATTTAGAATTAAAAATAAAGAATATTAGAAGTAGAGTATAGAGTTCATATAGGAATCTAAAACAAACTAAAATTCGGAATAAACATAATAAAATTAAAAGTAGAGTTTAGAGTCCATATAAAAATACAGTTTACAAATAACTAAAATTTGAAATAAAAAAACATGGGAAGAAGAGTCTAAAGTCAATATAGGAATACAATTTAGAACTTAGAAGTAATTGAAATTCGAAATTAAAAATTAAATAATATTGAAAGATGAGTTTAGAGTACATATAAATACAATTAGAAAAAATATAAAATTTCAGAATTAAAAATAAATAATATTGGAAGAAGAGCCGATAGTCTATATAGAAATACAATTTCAATTTACAGATAACGAAAATTCGGAATTAAAAAATAAGAAATATTGAAAGACTAAGTGTAGAGTCCATATAGGAATATATTTTAGAAATAACTAAAATTTGATATAAAAATAATTAATAAGTAACACGTATATAAAATACAATATGAATATTACACATTAGTAGTTTCATAAAGTTAGTACAAAATTTAAAATTATGTTGTCATTTTAATATATTTTAATAATAAATTGAGAAAACATATATGCTATTATATAAGAGAAAATATAATGATACTATCTGCGCAATCTGCGGACCACCATGCTAGTTAGTACTAAACAGACAGTATGAAAAATTTGGTGTACTAGCTTTTTAAGGCACTGTTCTTTTTTTTCAACCCCAAACTTCAATTTTCTCGTTTTTCGTTATCACGCTTTTCAAACCATTAAATAATATTTTTTAAAAAAATTGTATAAAAGTTCTTTTAAAAAAATAAATTTATTTTAAGTTTATAATAATTAATATTTAATTAATCATGTGCTAATGAGTTTTCTCATTTTGCGTTTACAAAAATTTTTCCTCCAAACTAAGGCAAAGAATGTAACCAAGAGTGAATGTTTGTTGCCTTGATAAAATTTGGTATTAATAAGAGGTTGGTTTCGTCAACGAAACAAACAGTCTTTTACTTTGTACTAGCAGAGTACATCGTACTTGTGCAGTGTATTTACTGTAAAACAAATTGAAATAAAATTGTACTGAGTTTGATAATAATGCATAAACTTACTGTCCATGATGCCAACTCTTAACCGTATGAGCTCTGCTCAGGAAGCAGTAAGCGGGGTAAAGCGCGTGGCACGAATTTTTCTTCAGTTTGAATCAGTACAAACCGTGTAATTAACCTTTTCTCTGAGTTCAATTTGCTGCTATTTTTTCAGGCCAGTGTACGTACGGCAAGTTGCTGTCGACGACCGTGTGTATATATTCAGTGTTCTGAACGCGAAGTTGTCGTTGGACAGCAACCAGTGTCTTCTTCTCACCCTGATTAAGCAATCGTTTCTCTGCCTGCGAAATGGACTTCATCAAAGATTACAAGCTTTAAGTGTAAAAAAAGAAGATCATTGGTCAGTAGACCTAATCAAGCGTGACAATTGGGCTGCAACTTCGCTCTCCTTTTATTTTCTTTTTTGCTTTTGTTATTCATACTCACTTTGCTTCTTTATTCAGCTTGGAAGCATTAGGTATTTGTCACAGCAAAGGTGTGCAGGTGATACTTGAAGTGAACTAATATAATCCCTTTCCTAAACCAGAAATCGCTAAATCCCCAGACGGCTGGTGATCACCAGGGGGTGGCTGGCTACACTACACGTACACGGGAAGCAACTCGACCCCACTGTGATCAGGATGATCGGTCTCAATTGCTTTAGGCCTTGTTCGGTTGCTTGGGAATTAATCCCCAAGGGATCCTATCCAGGGAGGGATTGAGAGAATCCCTCCTATCTCACTCAAATCATGTGGGGTTCGAATCCCTGCCCGTTTCTAATCCCTGTCATATAAACCCTGCCTTCGTTTAGCACAGGGAAATATAAAGCAGCAGCTGTACGTTCCCAAGCAAGCAATGAAACAATATGCATTCTCCCAGATCAAATCCATAGGACGCAGTAAAAAAAAACATTGTTTTAGCACAGGGAAAACACACATGCATGCTGTACGTTCACAAATGCATACATGAAAGTGTCACAAAGTAATAAAAATGGTTACAGTTCAGTTGTTTTTTTAGAATAAATAGAAGTAGCCAGCTAAGAGCTAAACTACAAATTGAATGCAAGTGTTTAAGCTTAGCACTAATGCCACCATGAGCTTCAGTCACCCAGCTGCAGTGTTCCCATCTCTGAAAAAAAATGGAGCAAAATTGGATCAATTCCAAAAAGAAATACACCATATATGTTCTTTCCTGTCAACCAAATATCAAATTGAACAAATGTAGAGTACAGATTACATAAGAGCAAACAAGTAAAGCAAAGAGCCACACTAATATCCAAACTAACGCTGATGCACTACATGGAATGCTAACAGTCTGATAGAACCAAAGATGAAAAGAGACCTAAAAGTTCAGGAACTAGGAAGCTAACAAAAAAAAAAGCTAACAATTCAGCCTTGACAACATAGTAATAATGAAGTACATAACTAGAGCCACACGGTACCTTAAAAAACATTCTTTTATCAGGAGCAAAGCAGATGCTTCAAAGTAAATAAAATTGCACTGCTATACTGCTTAAGTTTAGCTTTTTCAGATGCTAAAAGTAGTATCAGTTCAGACTTGAGTGAGCTCATCAGCTCAAGAAAATAAAAGAAAGGTGAGTAGCCCATAATGTAAATCCTGGTTTACAGCCCTAAACAACATGCATGTAACTAACAACAGAGAGTCACACAGGACAGAGTGAAGCCCATCTTACTCGCCTAGCAGACCAAAAAAGATTTATATGGAAGAGAAGCGGTACCTTTCAAGCCATCTCACTTCTTAACCAACTCAAGGCAGATTCTGGATCCTCATCACAAGCACTCACAAAAATCTCTCTGTTCTCTGAATTCTTGAAGACGGTATATGCTTTGACCTTTTCTGCCTTTGTCACATCCATCGAATTCAGAACAGATATGCACCTCTTGATTGAAAAATCATTACTTTCCTTTTCTCTTGCTAAATGAGCCTCCTTTTCTCTTGCTAACTGAGCCTCCTTTTCTCTTGCTAAATGAGCCTCCTTTTCTCTTGCTAATTGTGCAGCCTCATCTTCAGTTTGTTTGGTCCTCATATCAAGGTACCTTTCCATAAGTCCTTCTACGCCAACACTCTTCTTTTGCCTCTTGGGTTCTTTTTCTTCTTTGTTTCTTGGTACAGCAACAACCCTTCTATGCGGCATCTCTTTAAGCCTTTCAGCATTTGCATTATCATCTTCAGTTGCATCTACATCATCTTGTACTTGATAAGCCAAGGTGTCCTCATAATCTAGAAATATAATCTCAGTGTTACCAAGATCATCTTGATCACTCTCAACTTGAGTAATGATTGGATGTTGCAATGGCTCAGTTGAGGTGAAATTGTAGGTTCCTTCTGCAGTATATCCTACACAAGAAAATTGAGTACAAGAAAGGGTAAGCAAGAAAGCATGATTATAACTTGTGATATTGAAAACAAGGATTACAGCTTGTGATAGAACTAACCATCGTAAAGTTCTCCCAAGGCCTCAAATAGAGGGAAAGATTTGGTGCGAAACTTCTTGGCTTTAGGAAATGACTACACAATAAAAGGAAAACACTAAAAAGATGCATAATGTAATTAACTACAAAATTAAGTAATGGTCAGAAATAATCTTACGATGATTATATTGTTCCATATAGCAGGCTCAGCCTCAATGATGCATCTCTGGTTATTCCATGAAGCTCCACTTTGTTTTCTAGCCTCTTTCAGCATCCTATATTCTCTTTTTAGCTCTTTCTCCTTTTCTTGGATTTGGGACTTTGTTAAGCAGACATATCTGTCCTTCTCATGGAATTCCTTCACGATTTTGTTCCGAGCTTCTGAAGTCCATCCATTCTGACCCCTATACTCAGGAGTGTTGTGCTCATGCAATAACTCAACAAGAATCTTCTCTAGGGCTGGGTTCCAAGAGGTTCTTGTTTTTTCTACACAAGATAAGAATTGATGTATAATCTACATTTAATAATTTCAAACATGAATTTCACATGTTCTATAATTGCATACCTATTGGAGAACCTCCATGCTTTTTTGTAGGACGACCTTTCGGAGAGTTCTTCTTTTGTGCAGCTTTCGCTAAAAGCATGGTCAACCTTGGAGAACCTCTTCCAAGCATATTAACTGAGAAAGGATGCATAACACAATATTCATAACAAAAGCATTGTAGCAAATGTATGTCACATGCAACCACCATAGTTCATTTATAACATAATATTTGTAATATGTCGTAGTTATTACAGCTCACAAAACATCAAAAAAAAATCAAATATACTACTTATTACAACCCACTAATTCCTATGCTGTCGATAGTCATTCCACATTTGATGTGCTATCGTGTCCCTCAAAAGATTCCCTTGATTAGTGCTTTGATCATTGCCTTCATCACCATCTGGCAGGTCAACATAATTGCTTGGATGGATATTATGTGGTTGGTTATTTAACCATTGCTCATCCCCATTCAGTGATCGAATAATATTATGGAACACTGCAGCAACCACTGGTATCTTCACTTGGTTATTGATTTTGTGGAAAGTTGCAACTTTGAGGATAGGGAAGCGCTTCTTTACAACCCCCAAAGTCCTTTCAACATGATTCCTCAATACCGCATGGCGATGGTTAAATAACTCTTTGTAGTTTTGAGGTCTACGCCGACCTACCCCATACTCCTTTAGATGATACCTGACTTTACGATATGGTGCAAGGAAAGAATTGGTGTTGGCATATCCACCATCAACCAAATAGAACTTTCCAGGGGGTACTTGGAAGCCTTTGTTTACTGCAGAGGTAAGAACCCTGGCATCTGTAGCCGACCCCTCCCACCCAGTAGACATGAAAGTGATCTTCAGATCAAAATCACAAGCTATCATCACATTTTGGCTAAGAGTATTTTTCCTATTTCTAAATGGAGCTGCTTTGTCAGATGATATAGATATGGGTATATGGGTGCCGTCAATTGCACCAAGGCAATTCTGCAGCAAAAAAAAAACCACATATGATTTTCTAAAAATGTAAAACAGCATATTAATAAGGATATAAGTGTTTAGGTAAGAACCTTGAAATAGGGATAAAATCTAGGATCTTTTTCTATTTTCCAATGAACTTCATTAGGATTTGGAGGCTTCAGAAACCGCTTCGAGAGCGAAGGGACAACTGAGTTGAAGAAATGCTTTACGTGACGATGAAAGCTATCCCCACTGTGCCCAAATTTCTCTTGCAAATCCTCAAATGAAGCATTGTGACTAAGCATGTATAAGAAGAACGCCAACTTCTCTTCAACTTTAATCCTAGTATCATCGACCAACTTTTCAGTTCTAAGGTAATTGGCCAAAGATATAAATATTTCCGGCTCCATCCTGAATGCTACCCGGCAATTTTTTACATGCCCTTCAAGCAACTCCCGAACACGCTCCTCGCATGTTATCTTTGATGTATGGCATCGCTTCTTTTCCCTTGCTCCACTAGAACTCAACAAATGTAGTGCAGGGAAAATAAACAACATCATATCATCGTCCTCCTCTTCCCTCCTCTTTCTAGCGCGGTCTCTTGCTCTCATATCCATAGTAGTACTATAGATAGCACACAAATTATTTACAATTTTGCACTTAGCACAGCAACAAAAGATCTAGAAAGATAATCACAAAAGAATCACTAAACTATGGGAATTAATCTTAAGAAGATCCAAGTTATGAAGCATATTTAAAAATTGATGGGAAAAATGAAAAGAACAATAAGAATCTTTTTTTCTTAAAGAGTGCACAGTGCAACAATAATTGATGGCAGTAGCACTTACAGAATGTATGAAAAAGCAGATTACATGGCAGTAGCACTTACCAAATTTAGTTGTCAAATTTAGTTACAGATGATCTTTTATTAGTTAGCGCCGAGCATGTTCAGAATTCAGAAATCTGAAAAATCTGAGAACTTGTATATTCTCTATGCTTTTTTATACAAATTTAACCGTATGTTGAAAGGAAAAGAAATTTTGGTCTACATTACACCACTTCTTTTATTTTTTATATTTACATCACAAAATATAGATAAACAACTTAAAGCAAAGGGAATAAATAGATCTAGTACCTCTTGGAGAGGGTACAAGGTCCCAGGAAGGAGAGGGTACAAGGTCCCAGGAAGGAGGAGGTTGGTCTTCTCCAACTCTAATGGGTGCACGTGCAATCTACAAAACAAGCACAACTTATACACATCACTGACAACTCAAATTCAGAACTAGAACTAGAGTTACATAAAACCCAGAACTAGAGCTAGCTAGCATCAAAGTAGGAGCTGCTGTTTTTCAATCAAATAGAAGGATCTCATCATCAAATACATTATAACATGGGTACAGAATTAATCACCCAATCAGCTCATTTAACACTAGACATATTAGTGCTTGAATAGCTATGATAAACATGTTTTATACAAGTATCATGTTGAGGAAAACAAATCTGTTAGTCTAATGAGACTAAAAGCTACTGTTGTTAGTTTAAAATAAATCAGTTTAAGTATACATTACTGTATATACTACTGCAATTTGTTGCTAGTTTGTTTGTGAAACAATGACGATAGAATTAGTTTACAATTCAGAAATGTTAAACTAATTACAGAGTACCTCCATAGCTCTACAATCCTCAAGATTAGGACACCCAACCCTTGTAATTTCCAAACAGAAATATAACCAACAACCACAAGTTGGGACTCCGAAAGCACCAAGAACTGAGTACTTCACTGTAAAAACTTGTATAGTCAATTTTACAAGACATGCTCAGGCAAGCATCACAGCATCAGTCACACTAAGCAAAACTAATCAAGGCAAGCATGTTTCCATAGCCACCGTACAGCTCTCGCTCTCACCATCTGCTGCCTCAAAGCCACCGTGAATCAAGAACTCAAATCAAGAACCAGAGTTGGGCGGTGCGGTGGCGGCGGCAAATCAAGAACTCATCCCCACCCAACCAAGAAAAAAAGCTCCACGCCCAAATCAAGAACTCACCAGATCGAGCAGGATACGAGGAGGAGGACGACGAATCGCTAAGCGCTCACTCACCAAAAAGCTGCACGGCGAGAAGAGAGATGGCGGCGACGACAGGAAAGGGAGAAGAGAAGAAAACCCTAACCCTAGCTTTGCAAGAGGAGGGAAGAAGGGGAAAGGCAGCGTGCTCACCGGAGAGAAGGTGGCGGCCGGAGGAGAGAGCCGTGTTGTCGCCATCGCCGTCGCCGTCGCCTCCGGGTCGCGCCGCGCGCCGCCCCCTCCGTCGCGTCTTCGTTGCGCCGCCGCCTCCTCTCGAGGAAATTTTCCACGCCCCAGGAGTAGATGATTTTTTCCCAGGCCTAGAGAAGAGGGAAACCCCATGGTGGGCCGGGCTAAAATTCACGGTAGGGCTTAACCAAACGCACAATTTCGCATGGGCCGGGATTTTTTCCTCGCCGGGGTGATCCACGGGGATTGGGCCCCGATCCCGGCCGGGAACAGCCCAACCGAACAAGGCCTTAGGAGGTTCGATAGTCTTGAGTGTTCGTGCGTGGTTCACACGGTTGTTTTTGGTGGGCGGAAGTCATAGAGGACATGTGTTTGCCCTTGGTAAGTTCTGAACAATCGATCGGAGGCATGGAGTACTAGTGCAAGGCTTTCTTCTTTTTTTTTTGTGGGGTGGGGTGAGAGGTTGGTGTCTGTTAGATGGATCTCTCTCCCCTTGAGCCCAACGGCTCAAGGGGGCCTTGAACCACGCTCTGATCGGGGGCGCCCAACCCAATGGCTGGTGGGCCCCGTCACCCTGCGCCATATAAAGAGGGGTGGATGACGGGACGGCACAAGACACGAGGTTCGTCGCCGCCGCCACTCCACCCCACAAACCCTAACCGATCGAGGGGGCACAGCCAGTGACGGGAACACGCCACCGCCGCGCCACGCCTCGTCGTCGACACCGCCGCTGCATCACCGCCATCGGCACTGAGTTCACTGTCACCGCCGTCCACGTCAAGCCCGCGACGACAAAGACGATGGCCGGCCGCACATCCTCCTCCTCAACATTGACCGGTCACATCCCTAAACCCTCTCACTCCCTCTTTTTTAATTCATCTATTGTTGTTCATCCATCCAAAGTGTTCTACCTGACTAGATCTAAACCTAGGTGATCCAATAGACAACCCTAACAATGGTATCAGAGCAACCCTAGGGCTTAGATCGGTTCGGGGATAGACATCCACATATAAGAAAGAAAATCCAAAGATCAAAAGAAAAGAACAGCACACGATCCGTACGGGTCGAAAAGAAAAGAGACTCACCTACCGCCGGCGCCGGCTGCCGACGCGCGCGGGAGAGAAAAGAGGGGGCGGCGCCGCGCCGCCGGCTCGCCGGGCGCCGCTGCACAGCCGCTTGACGGTGGCGCACTCACTCTTGGGTGAGTGCGCATGTCGGCGAAGGGGGGTGCGACAGCACCGCCGCGCCGTGCCGCCGCTGCACCGTGCCGCCATGCCGCCGCGCCGTGCCGCCGTCCCGCTGTGCCGTGCCGCCGCGCTGTGCCGCCGTGCCACCGCGGCTAGGGTTTCGGCCGGTGAACGGCTAGGGTTTTCGGCCGGCGGACTGGGTGGTGTGGGTGTTTTTGTTTCCCCGAAAGTGGCGCTCGGCCGTCCGATCGAAACCCTAGCGATCGGACGGTCGGTGATGGCTGGGCTGATTTTGGCCCAAGAGGGCGCGCGCCGGGGGCTCCTTTCCCGGCCCAGGCCCAGGTTGTGGCCTGGGGGGGGGGGAGGGGGCACCCACGCGCGTGAAAGCATGCCGTGGGCCGACCGGCTGCGCCGCAATAAGTTTATTTTAGGTCCCTCGGCCGAAGAAAAAAGAAGTTTAACAAATGTCCCTATTTCAGAAGCTTTTTCAATATGTTTAATGATTGTGTTTATTTCTAAGCATTTTGAACCAATGTGAAAATTGTTTAGAGAATAGATAAATGTGAGAAATGCTTCCGAACATGTATTTTGTATATTTTCATGCAAATTACAATAGAATTTGAATTGTTTTTGCATGTTTTACCTCTGTTTAAATTTGAACCAACGGGAGAATTTTTACAGAGTAAATAATAGAGTTTTTTTATTGTTTATATGAATTGTATATAGATCTTCCGCTGCAAATAGATGAAATTGATGAAAATTAGTGTTTCTAAAATTAAATTTCGAATCAACGGGAGATTTTAATTTTAGGAACATTAACTATATGCTATGATGTTGTAATTTTCGGACCAACATTGATAATTGCAATGTTATAGTTATGGCTCTATGTGTTATGTCTATTTTCTGCCCAATGGTGATGTAGACTTAATACATAATATTTTTTATTGTTAATTTTGTTCTCACAATACATGATTATCTCAGGTGGCTACTCCTTGATGGGTTACATAAAAGATATTCCGACCCTAACAGGAGATAACTACAGAGAATGGAAAAGAGAACTCGACCTTGCTTTTATCTTGGGAGAGGTGGACTGGGTGTTGACTACCCCATGTCCTATAGAACCTGCTGGTGGCTACTCCTTGATGGGTTACATAAAAGATATTCCGACCCTAACAGGAGATAACTACGAGAATGGAAAAGAGAACTCGACCTTGCTTTTATCTTGGGAGAGGTGGACTGGGTGTTGACTACCCCATGTCCTATAGAACCTGCTGAACTTTTCAGAGGTGAAAATGAGTCAAATGCGGAACGGCAAAAGAGAGAGAGGGACAATGCTTCCCTCATCATGTCGTATGAAATTGAACATGCGAAATGGTCCTTAGCCAACAAGAACTGTTTGGCTGCGGTAAAGAACACGATTGAGCCAAGCATATTGGGCTCATTCCTAGAGTATGACACTGTCTCTATGTACCTCAAAAGTATAAAGAGCAAGTTTACTGGTTCTTCAAAGTTTTATGCGACACAGCTCATAAAGCAGCTTGTAACAGAGTGGTACCATGGAGGTGGTGTAAAAGACCACATTCTTAGGATGAGCAACATGGCTTCCAAGTTAAAGTAAAAAGATTTGGGCATCTCAGATGACTTTCTGGTCCATCTGGTTATGTCCTCATTGCCAGAGAACTTTGACAACTTTGTTGTCAACTACAAAGTAAGTCTAGAAAAATGGAATCTTGAAGAGCTCATCTCTAATTGTGTGCAAGAGGAGGAAAGACTCAAAGAGACCAATGGTGGCTCCATTAACCTTGTTAAAGATAACAAGGAAAAGAGCCACGGGTCACCCTCCTCAAAAGCAAAACAGCCTCAGCATCTGCCTCAGCAACAACAGTTCACAGTTGAGACAGGATCAGTGTCTCCACTGCAAGAAGACAAGACATTCCAAGAAAGATCGTCCTGACTTCCTGACAGTGATCATGGCAAAGAAAGGTGAGAACATTATTACATTTATAAATGAATCTCATTATGATTGGTTATTCTAGATCTACATGGTGGATTTATTCTAGAGCAACTATTCATATATGTAATTGTTTAAAGGGATTCTGTTCGATGAGGACTACGCAAAGAAGCGAAAGATCCATTAGAGTTGCAAATGGAGTTGAAGCAAAAGTTGAAGCTATTGGAGATCTTCTCCTAGAGCTCGCGAATGGCTTCACACTTTTACTTCGAGATGTTTTATGTCCGTTCTTTGCAAAGAAACTTAATAAGTGTATCCAAATTGGATTTTGATAGATATGATTGCCATTTTGGAAATGGCAAATGTGAACTATGGTATAATAATGCATGTATTGGTCTTGTTGTGTTGCAAGATCAGCTTTATTTGTTATCTCTTTCTGAGAATGTGAATGTTGTGTCCTTGTTGACAAAAGAAAAAGAAAGCGAATTCCTGATGTCTCATCAAAATTATGGCACTGTCGTTTAGGCCATATTTCGAGGGGGAGGATTGAGAGACTGGTTAAGAATGTAATTCTTCCTCCATTGGAGTTCTCAGTTTTGGAACCATGCATACAATGCATAGAATGCATCGGTGCCCAAAACACTGTATGAGCTATGGATCCTCCTTGTGTGGGGGAGTCCTGCAGAGGCTAAAGTATTTAACCCAAATATTGGGAAATTGGATCCCAAAAAGTAAGCTGCCATTTTATTGGCTATCCTGAAAGATCAAAGGGTTATCATTTCTACTGTCCAAACAGTTAAACAAAGTTTGTAGAAACGAGATGGAAATGATTAGGGGGGAGCTCGGTAGTACGAGAAATTGATCTTGAGGAGAGGCGGGTGTCTGTACCCGCTCCCTTGACTCAGGAACCTTTCTTCTCTCTACCTGCTGATGTTGTGCCTGCAATGCATGATGTTGCGGTACCAACACCTATTGTTATCTCTCCTGTGGCAACAATGAATGAAAGTGAGGAACCTGTTTTACAGGATTCAACAGAAATTATTGCCACACCAGAGGAGGAGCTGCAACAGCCTCAAACAGATAATGTGCCAAATGAGGAGGCCCCTAGAAGGTCTGAAAGAGTCAGAAGATCGGCAATCCGTGATGACTATGAAGTTATAATATAGAAGAGTCGCATATGGAGGATGATCCCACCTCATATGAAGAGGCCATGAGAAGCGCTCGCTCATCTGAATGGTTGGAAGCCATGAAAGATGAAATGAAATCAATGAAATTAAATGGTGTCTGGGATTTTAGAAGAAATTCCTAAAGGTGTCAAAATAGTTGGCTGTAAATGGGTCTACGAAACCAAATATGACTGCAGAGGGAATATAGAAAAGTTTAAAGCGCGACTTGTGGCAAAAGGCTTCACGCAAAGAGAAGGGATTGATTACAATGAGACATTTTCTCCAGTCTCTTGTAAAGATTCCTTCAGGATTATAATGGCACTGGTGGCACATTATGATTTGGAATTACATCAGAAGGATGTAAAAAGGGAATTTCTAAATAGAGATTTGGAGGAAAAGTATACATGGTGCAACCGAAAGGTTTTGTCATGAAAAGAAACGAAAATACGGGATGCCGTCTAAAGAGATCCATTTATGGATTAGAACATGCTTCGAGACAATGGTACTTGAAGTTTGATGGGACAATAAAGAAATTTTGGGTTTTCAAGAGAATGTCGAGGACAACTGTATTTATTCAAAGTTTAAAAATAGTAGATTTATTTTCCTAATTCTGTATGTAGATGACGTTCTACTAACTAGTAGTGATGTCAGTCTATTGCAGGAAACAAAGAAATTCTTGTCCTCAAACTTTGACATGAAAGACCTCTGTGAGGCTTCATATGTTTTGAGCATAGA